CCACAAGACCATCCTTTCTCTTTCTGCAGTTCTCTGCAGACATTCACTCTCTTTCATTCACTACACACCTTACAACTTCTGCAAAAAACAAAGCAGGAGTCCTACCAGCAACAGTCTTCTTCACTACACAACCCTGATTTGTACCCAGAGTACGGGCATCCAATCCACCGAATGAAGCAAAGGTCCTCAGGGGAAAATAGTATGTGGGTCATGTAACTAAAGTCTACCATCATGCTTAGAAACAGGGGGCCCAATTAAAGTGGCACATGCAGCCTTATTTCTGGCATTTCCTAACTTTTGAGTGCTTAACTTCACAGCCTTGATAATGTTCTTTTAATATAGGGTGGCTGTGTTCTCGTTTTGTTTTTAATGTAATTTTCTTGAAATTACTTAAGACTTGAAAAAAAAAGAACAAACTTTCATATGTAGAACCCTACTGACCCTCCCAAATGGTTCATCAGCTGGGTTGGGATCTTCAGATCCAAAGCACAGTCCTCTAACCACTTGAGCTAACAAAGTAGGAGGCTGTTATCTTCTATGTGCACCTGCTGCTAGAGGGCGATGGAGACACAACTTTGCCAGTGGGTTTCACAGCTATTTGCTAAATAGTAAAGGAATGTTGAGACTCGGGAATCCAGGGTCCAATTCCAGGTTCTGTATGGGGTGTGTGCACTAATGGATATGGACCACTCTCTATGTCCCCTGCTGCTCCTATTCCCTGTTTGCCCACTAGGGTGACCAGATGTTCCAATATTTAACCCTTTGTCCCGCGTCCCGAACAAGGTACAATCGGGACGCCATTTGTCCCAATATTCAAGTAAGGAAGCAAGCGGGAAGGAGGCGCTGACCCCATGGGTGCTCCGGGGCTGGAGCACCCCTGGGGAAAAATTGCAGCCAAGCTCCCTCCTCCTCGCCTCCTTCTCCCCCCTTCCCCCAGTGCGCCACGTCCCCGCTCCTCCCCCCTCCAGTGCTTCCCCCTGCCTAACAGCTGTTTGGCAGTGCTTAGAGCTTTCCAGGAGGGAGGGGGGAGGAGCGGGGATGCAGCACACTCAGGGGAGGAGGTGGAGAAGAGGCAGGGCAGGAGTGGGGATGTGGGGGAAGGGAATGGAATGGGGGTGGGGCGAAGGCAGTGCAGAGGTGGGAGGCAGGTGAGCACCCACCCGGCAGAGGGGAAGTCGGCGCCATAGGGATGAGTGGCGGGCAGGAGGGTGAAGAGGCAAGTGGCAGGCAGGCGAGCGAGCGGGCGGGGAGGCGAGCTGTGGGTGGGGGACTAAGGAGGGACGCAGCAAGCCAGCAGCAGGCCGGGGGATGAGGAAGGGCGCGGTGAGGGGGGCCGAGTGGGGAGGGGGCAGGGACCTGGGGCAGAGTGGGGGCAGAGCCTGGGAGAAGTGGGGGTGGACTGTGGGCGGGACTGATGGCACCTCAAAGTGTCCGGTATTTTAGTGTGGTGATCTGGTCACCCTATTGCCAGCTCCTGCCCCCCCCTTTCCTGCTGTTCTCTCCCCTGTCTCCTGCCCAGACAGGGTGATAGCAGCCCAATCACCCCTCCAGACTCATGACCATCCCTTCACCTCACCTCCTCCCCCTCCTTCTGCTGTTGCCCCTCCCCCCCATGGTCCTTTTTCCCACCCCCTGGTCCTCTGCCCTCTCTGCTCCCGCCCCAGTGCCCTACTCCAGGTTCTGCTCCTAAACCCTCTCCCCTTCAGGCTCCTATCCTCTTTTCCCCCAACCCCAAGCTCCTACCCCTTTTACCATGTCCCCTGACAGAAACACACTTCCTCTTTCCCTTCCTCCCCTGTTGTCCACCCCTAGGCACTAAAGTCAGGCAGCTTCCTCCCTCTAATCCTTACTACCTGGAAGCCAGCAGGGTGAGCACTGAGAGCCCAGGAGAAACTTTCTCCATGCTCTGAACTCCTGTGCCTGTGGCCACAGTGACCCTAGGCAGCTGAGAAGAGCAGTTGCAGAGCAGAGCTCAGCCCCTCCAGTCTTGGGCTGGAGCATGTTCAGTCACTCTGTAGGGATAGTGCATGTAAAGTCTAGGTTGCCACCCAGCTGGTTTTTGTAGTGCCTTGTCAGTTAATCATGAAAACGTGCCAGATTTTTTTCACACGGCACCAACATTCCCTCTGTAAGCTGGCCAGTCATGCAGTGATCTTGTAATTACCAGCAAGCACACGTTGCATGGCTGGGAGCAGAGCATGACCAGCCCAGCACCCAGGTCCTGCTCTGAGTGCCAGGCCCTCAACAAGCTGCAGTGGCTCCTTCCGGCACTGGGGACCAGGAATTGGGACAGACCGAGGCTCGCCAGCAAGCTGGCGTTGGAAACAGGGACTGGGGTCGGGTAGGTAGGGGTTCCTGAGAGGGGGTGGGTGTAGGGGGTAGTGGGAAGGTAAGAAGAAAAGAGGCCTTCAACTGCCCCGAATCCCCCACCTGCACTGCTGCCTGAATGGGGGGGGAGCAGAGGGGTAGAGGAAGGTCAGGCTGGTGGGGACAAGCAGTGCATCTCAGAGGTGGCAACCCTACAATCTGGGCACATGTAGGAGCTGTAAGTGGATGGGGCATGCTCTGTGAAGGCAGAATTTTGCTGCCAAATTCCAACAAGTCTCCACTGAGCGCATGTGAACTGGGATTTTGGGAGTGAGTTTTTCAGGAAGAAAACAAAAGGCACATTCTTGTCACCAGCATGATCTCCCCTTCCCCCCCGCCCTCTCCCCACACACCAAATTCTAAGTCCCTATTACAATAAATTGTTTTTAACATGGACAAAACAACATATTTTCCCTTTTTCAGAAACAGATTAGCCATTTGAACTTAAACTTCAAAAACAAAACAAACAGAAAACAAACAAACAAAATGGCCTGAGACAAACACCCAACATAAAACATTTCAATCCAAACTGTTAAAGTTTGGCAACGTTATAAGACCCTGTTTTCAGTTGTTTACAATAGGAAGTGTTGGGCAAACTTTACTATAGGCATTGCTACCTGTGACGCCTATAATGAAAGAGCACAAAAATAGCAGCAACAACATACAGTAATTTAACCTTTATTTTGCATTACATCAGCCTCCATACATGACTTGCACATTAATAAAGAAAAAATGCATACGCATATTCATCTAAGAATTTACAAAAAGAACTGTATACACTTTTAAACTCACATATTTTTCAAAAGCATTCCTAGCCATCCCCGTGGATCAACTGATTTTTATATTTCACTGGTTATACCAGGGTCTTTCCCCTCTGATGCACAGTTATTTTGGAATGATATGTTTATATACAGTATGGGAGCATTTCAATGCATGGTCAACTAATTCTCTGCTATAGAACACTTACTAGCTAATTATCTACAAACACAGAAGGCATATTTGATTTTTCAGGTATATTACTGTGGTAGCTAGGCTTATGTAATGTTTGGTCTGTAATCTTCAAAATACTTTCCAGAAAAATCTCAAAGATCGCTCAATCTGGGAAATGTAACAGTTAAACTTTATTTCATATTCAGACCAAATAGCCTTAATGTAGAAACTCTCCATATTCTTCATGTGTTTTCCAGACACCTATTGTTAAATAGTTTCCACTTAGATTTGAAGAATTTGAGACAGTTCCTAAATTTGAGCCTCTTAAATTGAGACTCCCTGTGATGAATCTGTGCCCTTTATGTGCAATCATTTGAGATAAACTGAAGCCCTTAGTATATAGGGAGGAATTTCCACAGCACTTGGCATTTGGCCTCACACCAATTCTCCTTTGAAGCTGAAGACTATAGAGAAAATGTCTGACTCCCTGCTGAGTAAACATTTGACCCTAGACTACTGGGAAGAGACAAACTAGAGCTTCTGCTTTTCAGAGACAGCTAAAAGGTTACACAACCCCTCCTGCAGAGTCCTAACAACTCAAGGCAATATTCTTAAGTAGGTCGTGTAGGCTGAGGTGTCGTCATGGCTCTTTCAAAGACATAGGACATAGTATTCATGAAAATCAATATGACATGTTTCTGGTGCACTTGCAGCCCATCCTGAAGACAGTGAGATTTTATGCCAAAGTCATACAAACATACCAAGAAAACATTAAGAACAAGAAGTCTACTGGCAGACTGACCTGATACATTATAGGACAACAACAGTTCAAAAGGCAGATATGTACACCTGAAAAAAAAACTGGTAATTGGGTCAATCAATGCTGTATTTTTGTTGTATAGTGAGATCCACTGGCTGAGAGTTGAAGTTAGACACATTTAAGCTGGAAATATAGCACCGATTTTTAACAGTAAGAGTGGTTTAACCATTGGAACAGATTACCAAGGAGAGATTCTCTGTCACTTTGAATCTTTAAATCATGACTCCATGTCTTTCTAAAAGTTATGCTTTAGTTCATCCACAAATGATTGGTTTAATTCAGGAGTTGTTGGGTGAAAGTTAATGGACTATGCAAGAGGCTGAACCAGACTATCACAATAGCCCCATCTGGCCTTAAATTTTATTAATCTATTTGGGACGTTAACAGCTCCCCAAAAGTGGTATCCTACGTACCCTCACATCTTTAATGGTAAGAAGTAAGTGTGTGGAATTAGTTGTCAAATTCTATTTTGGATACATCTACAATTGTTGCCATTTAGAAATAATACAGTCTACATTTTTGTTTTGAATATACAGGACTGATGTTGATTATTGAAATACTATACCATTGGATTGTACTGTCACCAGGTACAGTACCAGAATTAAATGACAAAAAGTGTGGTTATAGCAAATAATGCACTTCTCGGGTATACTGTGGGCCTGCAAGAAAATATTTTTTCAAAGTTATTGTACTTAAGAGTATATATTCTGTGTGAGTGTGCAATACAACAGAATGCACAAAGTAGTACTACGTCTTGATTTTCTCTCTTACATTCTCCATTATACTTTTGGAAACAAAGTGAGATGACAACAGAGGTTCGCATTTGTATTGCTGACAACTGAAAGGTTTTATAAGACTATTATTTAAAGCACAAATATTTTACCTGACTCTCTCCAGGTGTTTCTCTGAGTTGGGAAATTTTTCTTGTTTTGACTCATCTGTTTGACTGGAAAGCCCCGGAACTTGGTGCTGAGCATCTGGGGAGACTCAAGGATTCCAGGTGAAATTTTCATATGAGCTGTAAACCTGGGGCATAGTAATGAAGGTCTCTCATGGTGACGATTGTGCTGGGGAAAGAAAAACAAGAGTCAGAATCCACCAGTCCTCTGTGTGTGCAGAAAAAGCCACCACCCTGCTATTAAACGGATTAAGCCAACAGCAACAAATGAAAGGGTGGAGGAATCGCCAGTATTTTCTAGCTCATTTTCCAGTCTTTATATTCTAAGAACTTGAAGTTGAGACCCTCTACATACAGGAAAGAAAACCAAGTATTGGTTTGAGGAATATACATTAGAACGAATGTCATTAATTGTCATGTAAGAGAATTCGTTTTCTGTTAAAGATTTGTTTTTAAAGTACTGTAGGCTGGGCCATTTAACATTCTCACTTGGTTACGCAGCAGAGCCCAGGCTAATAGCTGAGCACACACTTCTGCACCCAGATTAGATGAAACTCCATGTTTGTACAGGGGGTTCTAGCTAATGCTTTTGCTTACAGGCTTGGGGATCAAATGAGGGCAAACAGCAGCAGAACATAGGAGTCTATAGTTCACTAGCAATTGGGGTAATTGTTTTACAAGTTCTAAATGTTACCCCATCTCAATAGCTGTGTAGATTTTAGGAGCTGATGCTTTTATGGAATACAGATATAAGGACTATGTCTTGTCTAATTGGCCTTCATATTGTTTGCAATTGGAGAATTTGTTTTGGCTTTTGCTGGACTAACATTTATCAGATTTACTGACCCAGAGTCATAATCCTGCAAATAACTTTGTGCATGGGCCACTGCAACCACACAAAGTCTCATTCACTTCCATTACTTGCAGGTTCAGGAGGATGCTGGTTACCGATTTGGTAACCTCACCCAGCCACAAACGAACTCCAGACTAGAGCTCTCCTCCCATCTCAAATGGACTCCATCTACCCAGGATTGAATGGAATGAGATCTTGTATCTTTACTGTTCCTTAATGGTGAACTGTCAGGATAAAAATCCTATGGTCCTAATTGTTCTCTCCGTTTTCTTCTGTGCAGCCCCTCACACTTGGGAAGCGCTCCCCATAAACATACACAAAACTACCTCCTTGTCCTCCTTCACACTCTCCATTGCTGTGCTGCCTACAAAAAGTTGACATCAGCTGGACAACTGGTGTACAAAGATCAAAACCTATGGTACTGACCAATATTGTCTCATTGTTTCCTTGTCTCCTTTCCCCATCTGTTTGTTGTATCTTGCCTTATACTCTTTGGGGCAGGGACCAGCTTTTTGTTCTTTGTATGTACATCACATAGGACAACTGGGCTCTGTTCCATGCCTAGGACTCATAGGTCCGACCACAATACAAATAAATAATAAACAATAATAATCATAATTTTAAACAATGAAATAGACTAGCTAGTTTCTAGTCAACTTCACTTTCGTGTTCTCATATACTAACACAACGCTGAAATGTGAGAGCTGTGAACTCTGCAGGACAATACTTGTTTCTTTAAAATAACAAGTATTACATATATTTCTTCACCTCCTCAATTTCCTTTATGGCTTAAAGGTTATAATGTTGTTGATAGACAAATGCTACCTATGTTTAATTGATATCCTCGAGATCAGCACATGTGAAGCAACAATGTGGACAATGCAGAGATTCCAGAGTATTGTAGATTTCTTGCTAAATGGGTCCAAAAAAGTGAGGATATCCAGTGAAAAAGGAGTGATTTATGAACCCTTATTATTCTTTCTGTGTTATTCCAACTTTCCTCAAACCACAATGAAAAATGACAATAGTACTCAAACTTTATATTTCATGTTTGGGGTTGTTGTTTTTTGCTAATGCATTGATATTTTTACAAAATACAGGTTTAAAGCTCCTGTTAAACTGTAATCTGAAATACAAGGTAATCTATGGATTTATGAACCGAGACTTCATAATAAATGACACAGTGAAAGAAGAGTGAGAACTGTAAACCTAAACAAGGCAGTTAACAATTGACAGGAATTTGCATTCCCTGCATTTAAAGCAATTTGTCACTTCCATGAATCTGAAGAAGTGGGGTTTTTACCCATGAAAGCTTATGCCCAAATAAATCTTTAGTCTTTAAGGTGCCACAGGACTCCTTGTTGTTTTTGTCACTTCCAGTTTCACATAACTTGCCTAGATTCAGCATATGGAAATTGTGAACTGCATAGACTATCTCTAGCTTTCTTTTCATTGTTGATACATTTTCCCCTAAAATGATAAATTACAGTTAAAAGCCATAGACTAGAAAAAGGTCACATGAGACGTTACAACTGATTAGGTTCATAGCCAAAAAAATTCAAAGCAAAATGGAGTTCTGAACTTTTTCAATGAAGGGTAGTCTCAAAATTGATGTATAGAGTATTAAACCATTATTGCTATAAGTCTAGTTATGCAACTTTTTATTGTATTATTCAAAAAAACTCTGTTTCCTCGAGGTCAAAAGTTTTATTTCTTTGAGTCCCATATTTCAGTTCTTATTGTTGTGATTCTTTTGATGTGCACAAAGTAGACTCTAGCTGGGAATCAGGGTTAGAACTGCCAGTGCTAGCAATGCTCAGTGTTTAGAGGTTCCCAAATTTTTACAAAGCACTCACATTTTCAGCAGGTATAGAAACACAGTTTTTACCATCACACATAAAGCACATTATTTAGCTACAAGTATATTTGAAAAAGAAATGCAATCAGATTTCAAATTTAACAATGACATTATTTTTCAGTGTGTTTTATGCAAAATTTATGAGCAGACTAGAAAGAAGTATGGAACTTCTAGGGGTTAAATGTGACTCATTGTAAAGAACGCGCCCTTTTCAATAACACTTCTCTTTTGATTAACTAAAAGCCAGGCCTTCTATATTATACACAATCCTCTTTTTAAACAAGGCAGACTCCCACACCACAAAGATACTAGAACAGTAAATATTGATTTTCTTGACTGATGGTACACCTCATGCTACCCAGACCACTCGAGCATCTGCTTGTTACCACAAGCTATTCCCTTTGTCAAGGAATAAAGCAAAGTGGCGTTATGTGCTATCGGTTGTGGATTGCAAATACTTAAATACATTTCTCAGAATGAAAGGTACCTTCTTTTGATTTTTTTAAAGTGTTTGCTTTAGCCCCATACACACTCCTAGCACCTGTACTTTTCAATTGTTGGTTTGCCAAGATCACTGTGGTTTTCTTGCTGGCTTCTTTATAACTGTTTATTATAAGTAAAGCATCTAGTGAAGCCATACATTATTTATTTATTTATTTATTTATTGCTAGAAAAAAAAGACAGACATGAAAACAAAACCTCCAAATCCTGGTGCAAGTTTTGCATGTACCCTGATACATAGACATAGAATATCAGGGTCGGAAGGGACCTCAGGAGGTCATCTAGTCCAACCCCCTGCTCAAAGCAGGACTAATCCCCAGACAGATTTTTGCCCTAGATCCCTAAATGGCCCCCTCAAGGACTGAACTCACAACCCTGGGTTTAGCAGGCCAATGCTCAAACCACTGAACTATCCCTCCCCCCACAAGTGCTAAATATATGATTATAAAACAAGTGTGATGTATTGGGGAAAAGGCTGGGCTTGTCCACTGTATTTAATTATTATTTGGGACGTCTTTTTCTTTTGATTTTGGGGTGGATCCAAAACCATGCTTTGCTGAAAGATCATCACAACAACACAAACTGGGCAGGCATTTACACCTGCTAAATACCTCAGAAGTGAGAGTGAGGAGGCTTTGCAGACTGAGCACACTTTTAGTGCTCTACAGAGACTAATTAGCACTGCAAAGTGAGAGGTGCTATTCAATGAGAAAATGTTTTTTTTCCTTTGAAAATCTGTCTCTTTTTTGACAAAACTAGAAAAGAAAAAAATCCTCCCCCCTCCCCAATTTTTCAGTTTATAATTTTTCCACACCAGCACCTGAGGGGAGGAGAATCACCTAGGCTGGGAGTCGACTATTTGCCTTTCTCTGCAGGAAGACCTGCTCCCCTCCTCCCCCTCACCGCTGGCTCCCCTTCCCTTGTGGGAGGGCAGAACCAGTAGAGCCTTCTTCCTCACCTTTTCTTCCTCACCTCCAGAGGAAAAAGGAAACTTTTCCACCTGCTGCTTCTTCTGCAGTCAGAATCTTTAGTCAACAGAATGGGCCAGTCAGCTCCCTCTCCCCTTCTGGCTTTCCACAGTGGGGACAGAGGTTGGAAACACAAGGAGGTCCCCTGTTGTACTAGTTTAGATAGATTATCTGCTAATGGTGTTAACACAACCCAGTCACTGTCCAACATTAAACAATGTTAAACAAGGTTCAGGATTTGGTATACAGAGACCTTAACCTACTTAGTACCATGGGAAGGACACCATTAAACAGCCTTTTAACCTTTATTAAAGATACAGAAAAGAAGGGGAAACAGTTAAAGCATTTGAAATGTAAAGTATTGAGAAAGGCTTTCATGTTAACAACATCCCCCTTTTCCCTTTAGCTGGAGAGAATCTTTAGAAGAAAACAATCTTGCTTGACAGTCTTTTAGCTGGTGTCAAAGATGATAACTGTTCATTTGGGGGAAAAGAGAAGAAGTCAGTTGAGATGGGCTGGAACTGTCATTGTTGTTGTTGTTAAAGTCAGATCCTGTTTCCTAAAAAGACTCTCACTTTGGCCCGGTCTGGTCAGGACATCTTTTAGGATCAGATGAAGAAAGTCTGGGGTCCCAGGAAACGAAAGGGGTGGCAGCCATGATGAAAGCTTGTTCCAGTAGCCAATTTTTCTCCCCAAAGTCTCCTTTCTCAAGAACCCACAAAAGGGAGTGCTGGGCAGAATAGCCCATCCCGTCATTATTTTGTCCACCAGTTAGGCCTAGTTTCTGACCAATTTTGGTTCACTGATTTCTGTTTCCACAGTTTTCTTGCTTACCAGGCATGATCACAACACAGTCTTTGTGTTATATCAGTAGGACTTTTTGTTTGGACTAATTCTGTCTGTTGCCCTTTTGGACCTTTTCCCGTTTGTTGTTATAGGTAATCATGAGAACTTACGAACTTACACTCACTTTTTACAGCTGAGATCAC